ACCGATAAAATTACCTTTCTTAGAGGCATAAATATTCCGGTGCGGGATGTGTGGAGAAAAGCGCAAAACAACAAACAACAATATTGGCAGTTGATGATCCAGAAAATATCCATACATGTACTATTCGGAAATATTTGCATGAAATTGAACAAAAGTGCAAATGTTCCATGAGGCGGGCATATAATCCAAATCCAGGAGGTAACTCAACCGATTCTTACCATCTTTATTTGTATATCTTTCCTTCAAAAAAGATTTTTAGGATGATATGATAAGAATTTGAAACGTTATCTATGAAACTGAATACTATCATTATTTATCCTCTATCTACATCATTCCTCTATACCAATACGGATACGATTTCAGCGTATAGTTTCTGCAACGTGGATCAATATTTCACGTGTGCATTACCCACTCTACAGTTCGGTAAAAAAAGGAGTTTTAATAGATTTGGCTGTCTTTCACCATGTGATCAGATCGATTACACAGCTTGGCAGGATATGACTTTACTTCCAAATAGTATCTTTCCCTCGCTGATTGATACTGCCGAAGAAGAGGATGTGGAAGATGTTATTGATGACTATGATGACGAGAATGATGTAAATAAACATTTAGCCGTTTGACTGTTTTCATTTAACAAATATCTGTTGAGAGTAATATTTGTTTCTGACCAAATGCCCAAACTTTGTTATATTTTAAGCGACAGTACTTGTGTAGTGATAGTATATACAGCCTAAGTGAATATTTTAAATTTAGCTTTGATTTGAGTAATTAATTTAAAAATTACTTTCCCATTGATTGAAATTTCAAAACTCGAAAATTAATCCAAATAATTAAATGCAAAAATCGAGATCATTAAGTAAGCAATAAACGAATGCATGCTACTTTGGTTTTGTTTTATATAATAAAAACTAAAAAATTAAGCATTCGATTTATATCTTAACATTGAGGTCCTATTATTTTTTAATAAAATTCGAATGTTAAGATTTTTATAATATTCGACTGAAATTTCTAAAATTTGAAGGCAAACATAGAACTCCATCGTGATGAGCATTTCCAGTGTGAAGAAAATCAGCTGCTGAGTAATCAACAGGTATTAATTCAATATACGATTTGAAAGCAATGTTTGATTTATTTTCACTAACCAAAAGAAAAAAAATTATTTTAAGGTAAGACAAATCAAGCGTGCAGCACAACGTGCCTATGAAAAACAGTCTCGATATCAGGAGGATATAAGACTAAGGACGAAACGAATGATACTGAAGTTACGAGAAGCAACACAAAAGTAATTCCGTCGTTCATCATCAGATTGTGAATTTTAAAGCTAATTAACTAATCTTAAGGATGAATATATAGCATGATCTAAGATTTATAAATAAAATTATAATCCAAAATTAAGCTGAAATTTTATCTTTGTTAATAGAAAATAAAAGAGATATGCACAATGAAAAAGACCAGTCAGTGTTACAATTTCTCATCAAGATAGCTACAGTTTATGGAGAAACACGATGAAATTTGAAGTTGAGAATAATTTTTTATTTAAGTCAGTTCGGAAATTGTTCTTTGTAGGGCAAACATAGTTTATGAATAAGGTCATATTTTGTAGGTTGATTGACAATGGTTGGGGATGGACAGATGAAACGTATCAAAATGCTTTTGAACGATTGAACAAATCTATTTCTTGCTTCAGTGCAATACCTGTTAATCATGCTAAAATGTTTGCTGCTATTGAAAATCCACCATCGTCAACTGAAGAAGCACGAATTTCTGTCATATATCGAGTATGTCCTCTTTAAAAATTCATTTCAAGAAAATGTAAGACTTGAAATTCTAATGTGTAAAAATTTTTCTATATAAATATATGTTGTTTAGACTTAATAAACTGTATATAGAAATAAACTGAATTCTGGATGTCAACCGTATTTATTTGCAGCTTTTGGAGCCAAAAGAGGATATCAGTGGTGCTAAGCAATTTCACACTGTAGTGCAACTTCGAGAAGCCTTTGGTGATCGTTTTGATGAAGTAGTAAAGGAGATGCAAAGATTCGTTAATACTGTCACCAAACTGTACAAAATATACAATCCATCATTTTACAAATCAACGCTAAGCGTTAATCTCAAACGCATGGATACTACCTTGTTTTTGGCGAATCAGGTTTTGTTTTTGGGTTGAAAAGGAGATAACTTTTCTGAGAGAGTCATTGAGTATGCAATTGTTAAGTCCAGAAAGCTTCTCTGTCTTTTTCGCAGAATTATATCGGATGTATTAAATTGAACCAACTCGTTTCAAATGATGGGCTAATTGCAGTATGAATCAGGCAGGTTACAACGACGTGCATGGGCAGAAAAAATGCAATCTCGAAATATGCGTCACTTTTTTGATCAAGATTTTTTCGAAGTATTCTTTTTTCTAAAGATTAATAAACAATACTTATCACTTTGTTGACCTATCACAAAGTGCATATTTAAGCTTGATTGTAATACAATGTCTTACAGGACTGGTACAATCCAATGCTAAGAGATCTGGATGAAAATTTAGTTCGTAACATTGTTGATATAGCTGATGATGAATTGCAAAATTTCATGGCCGCTGTTGACGATGGGAGAGGTCTACAGGTGCTTAGTTTTATGGCACAATTTCATTCATTTTATTTTGTTGGTTTATAATTCCTTTGCTTTCAGCGTGAATTCACTATGCATAATTTCAAATTAGTTAACAGTCACTTATCTCTAGTTTTCTACTTTAGTGAATTCTATGCCTTAAAATTCCTGAGAAATGTTATAGATGGGCTCTATGCTGTACTTCGGTGATACGACAATGCATCACAAAGAACAATTCGGTGCATTTATCCGCGACATTGTTGACTGCACTTTCGGTGATGTAAAAAATGAAAGTATCATCCTGTTGAATTCATTCAAGAAAGTAATGCATGAATTTCAGGTATATTACGGCTTTCATACTTAACTGTAACATAACTTGGTGTGGAATTTAATTAATCAGTGGAAGTAAGTTAGTAAGCTTGAATAATGCAAACCTGTCATTTAGCATTTGTTAAATGTACCAGTAAAATGAAGTGCACTTGAACAATCTGTGAAGAGAATTTTACCTTTATTTGTTCATGAATTCTTAAACGAAATCGTACTTTTAGTTCCTAGTAAAAGTAGATTTTTTAAAATTTTAAAGGACAATTTTTTGTAGTCAGCATATTCGAATTTATACCAAAAGGAATTACCAGCTTATTTGGCCAATTTTGATTTTGGATCGGCATTCGTAGAGTAAGAATTTTTATGTTTCATTTTCTTCATACAGTCGATCACTACTGCAGCAAATTGTTTATAAATTTCAGAAAAAAAGTTAAATCTTTCATTTGGAATTATTTCTTGCTGTCAAAGCATTTGGATGTTAAGTGTAATTTAAGTTAATCAAAATTTTAATCCAAATTATTTTTCAGTATTAAAATCTTCGTGTACGTTTTTCTTAATTAAGTTAATTATTTCAGACAAAATTTCGCAATGGTGAATGTTTTCCTGCATCGAATGAATATTGAAACATGGCGACAAGAAAGTACATACAGTATTTGGAGTTTGGCATGTAGGTTTAAAGAGAGTTGAATGCAAGATTATTTTCCTTTTTAGATCCCAATTGAATTTTGGATAAGAAGTGAACACAATTATATTATAGGTGATGTAATTATTACAGGTGATTACAGGTGACGTAATTGTCACAGGTGATGTAATTATTATAGGTGATGTAGGTGGAGCACTTGGTCTTTTCCTTGGTGCAAGTTTACTTACAGTTATCGAACTTATTTATTCATGCTGTCAATACGGTCTGTGCAATCCATTTTGTTGTTGGCCTTTAAACAGTTGGTAATGATTCCTTCTCGTTAAATTATAAAAAAATACCACTAAAAATTCCACTAAATCTCTAAACTATGAAGTTGGTTAAACTTTTTCTAATTTATTTATTCGAAGAATAAATAATGCTGAAATGATGGATTCTTATTAAAATGGTTTGTAGAAATTTAAATGATTTCCTCCAGGAAAAATATCAAAACACACCCGGCAGACAAATCAGACAAATGGAAGCAGAAGAATAAATCGGAAACGGAAAGGAAACTTGCTGGCGTTACGATAAAAAGATCTAAAAGTCCTATTTCGTGTTCTACTTCTCCAAAAAGTGCTTCACCCACCGAAAAAGTAAATGGAATTTATTGGCAATTCAATAATCAAAACTATTTGGCAACAGAACCCGCTTGTTTCATAGATATGTCCGAGAATCAATTGTCGAAGAATTCAACTCCAAGTCTTTCATCGTCCACCAATTTCTCTAATAAAGACAACACTTCGCCGAACGACTTTCTATTTGGGACAAACAGTTTGGAAAAACAAGATTCTATGAGATCTTCCAGAAAACTCACAAATTTTCCGGGACAACTCTCGTTCGAATCCGTTTCATCAGAATTTTCTGATAAAATGGCAACACTATTTCAGCCGAAAAACGAAAGACAGACGTTCGTTTGAATCCGAGCTTCAAATGTAAGAAGATAATAATTTCCAATTTTTAATTTTGATTTTGAGCATTGTTGTCACTGTTCATTTATGTATAAAATAGCAGCGTTTGCTTAAAACTGATTAATGATTCAGAAAAATGATTCAGAAAAAATATATATTGCTGTACTTTTTGATCAGATCAAATAGAACGTTAAACATTCAAAAAAATTTTTGTTGTTAACTTAGTCAAAGTGCACTTGGGTGTATCAATAGTGTTGATTTTAAGAAAAGATGTTGGATGCCCTTGCTTTCCTCATCGTCCTTTCAAACTTCAGTCTTATTCAGTCTAGATTAAAGTTTGGGCAAACAATTGTTCTGTTTTGTGTTATTTCAAGCATACACACACGATGGTAACTTTTTTTATTTGCTAGTTAATAAATTGATAAATATAATTTCCTCAATTGTGGAGTAGGAGTGTTAGATCTCTTCAGATATGCACCAGTTTTTTGCTAATTTTCATAATAAATATTGAATTTTTTCCGTCTGCGGAATGGATCTTCAGTGTTGTACAAAAATGAGCGGTCAAAGCCGGTTGTATCATCGTCAATTAGACAATAATCAATGGCAGCTCGATCATTCATGTTCGATTCCTCAGGTGGTATTGCAGTAACTCCGATTTTAATCTGGAAAGTAGATACCGGATAGGATAGCAAATTCAAACTTTTTGTTAGTTTTTAAATAAGAAAGTTCAAAGACTTGTCATTCAGTTTGATTCAATGAATAACAGAATCTTAAGGGAAATTTCGCTGAGCAGTATCTATTTATCCTTTGAAAAATTTAATCTTATTATTTTGGTGGTTAATGCGTTCCTTAACAAATCTTTAGACCTACGTGTACGGTGGCGTCTTTGCCCAGAGTGCCACAAGTAGGCTGTGCAATCATGCGCTTGATTGCATTAGTCTTCAAAGCCCACATTATCGGACGACTGTGCTTGTTTTTCACGTGGATTGTCACCATTTCCGTAAAAGGATGCTTAAATATTATCTGAAAGAAAAGCATAAACGAAGTTTTAAGGCTTGAAGTTTTTAGACACTTCCAATATTAAAATTGCAAATGACATAAAGGAATTATGAAGTGAGACTGTAATTACAAATTCATTTGGGTTAGTAACAAGAGTCTCTTCTTCTTTCACCGCCGTCGACGTCGAATATTCGCTGGAATGTAGTGAACCACCTGCCTGAATGCAAAACTCATGATCTCCTGACTATTTGTGAATTTGTTATGTTTGGGAACGAATAAACGAAGTTTTACGAATTTCCTCAAAAGTAAGTAACAAGCCTCATTCTCAACTTTCTGGCAGTCACCAGCAGGAGTCGATTTCACGGTGTCATTTTCTGACCCATCATTTTCTTCTCCGTAATCTGACAATATTGACGAGTCATTCAGGGTAATTTGTCGGTGCTTCTGTATTCCAAATTTGAATTGTTCCTGAATATTAATTGATAATAGAATGAATTAAAACTTTTTTTATGTTTTAATTTTGTTTCAAAATTTTAGGAAAATGAACCGCGTACATTACAGATTAAGAAGTGTGAAATAATTAAGTTCTATGCTTTCATTTTCATCCAAGTTTTAATTACTTCAACTAGCTTACTGTAGTAGAAGCGACTGTTTTTAGAGATCCATCGTGAGTGTAAGAAGTATCCAAGTAAGCAGTCATCTCTGGACTACGAGACAATGAATATGCAGTTGTTAAGTTATTATAATGTAATGATGGATACCTTCTGAAGAGACTCTGCAAAACCGAAAATATTACATACATGTTAGAATTTTTCATTTTTTTTTAAAATAAATTGTGTAAAAGTACGCCATAATGCCTAATGATCTGAAATTTCTAAATTGTTTAAATTTCTGTAAATGCATACTTCGGCAGAAAACTGCGTCGCATCGGTGATTGTCATTGCTGTATTAAGACCAATTTGCGATGCATAAGACGAGCCTGAAAAATGAACAGGTATGTCGGAGCTAACCATCGAATTAGCCATTGCGTTACGGCGTTGTTGCTGCTCCATAAGACTTTTGGCGACATCATGCTGATAAACAACATTGAAAAATAGGACAATGAGAAGGATGAATTTGCCGAAAAAGTATCCAAATGCATCCACAAATATGCTGTCGAATGCAATCAAAATTCCATGAATTGACCAATAGAAAAGCGTTGCCTTCTAAAGTATCACTGATTCCAACTATAACTTAAAATCCAATTCCAATCTCCGAGTATTAACTAATTCCATTCTTACTTACTTCTTTAATCATTTAATTTCATTTCAATTGACATCTCATTTTATCTCACTCCATTCCATAGAATTTCAATTGCCTTAGCAGGCTTTGATGACCAAAATGCATAATTATGCTAATTTGCAGTAGTAATAGCGTTGTGAAGTTAAACGTGTTTGTAGGTGCTCACGTTTACTTAAAAGTACTTACGTTAAAAATACTTACGTAACTCTGTCATGTTTCAGACTTACATAAGCAAAGATCCGAGTTGTGTGATCGGAAAGTTGTTCGTAAGTAAAGATAGCGGCTGGTACTGTGGTGCATATATTGCATACTGTCTGAGCATGCTCACCGTTAATGAGATATGCTGAGATAAGTACTGAGCAGATGATGAAAAAATGACGCCAATTTATCTTCTTGTTTCGTGTCTCATCAATTTCAGATTTCTTTTTCATACACTGTTCTGAATATTTAACAATGAATTGACGTGCTCCCGACACTACCACGTCTCGTGAAAATGCAACGTTTTTATACCGCTGGTACCCTCTGTTCGAAAGACTCAATAAAGTTCAATCTCAATTTAAAAATTAGATAGACCTCCTCGAATGTTCAACTGCCTCCAGTCATGATACTTATAATTTTTTACTGTGGTCATTTGCTGTTGACGAGTAAACCGCACTTAATGATTTATATGACTTTAAACTATGATCGCAAACGTTTCACCACTTTCTTTTATAAGTTTTCAAAAATTTGCATTTCATTTAATTTCATATACCTTTTGCTTAGGAAAAAGAAGGAAAAACTTGAAATTCAAAAGTCAAGAGAAAGTGGATTTCTACTCGGATCACAAAACTTTTGTTTTTTCTTCGAAACCTTATACTGAAGTCAAGTGTTTTATTATCAAGAATATATCCGATCCTAGATAAAATGGGAATAGAAAAACGTGAAACGTTGAATTAAAATTCTTAATGAACAATGTATAGTTTTTAATCAGCGCTCCCCTTATACAACACATTTTATATCGCTAATTAATTTATTAAAAAATCAAGTTTGAAGTACCAAAACTACAGCGCATCTATAATAGTACAAAAATAATTAGTATCATGTTTTCAGGCAGTTATAAACTCGCAACTTATTTGGAGTTTCATTAGTAAATTTTTAACTCATGAAACAACATCCAAGAATTGAAAATGAAAGAAAAAATATAACAACAATAAAATATAACTAATAAAAACTATTATGATAACGAAACAGTAATGAACATTCCGACTACCTACGAAGAAACTAGAAATTAGAGAGGCTTTCTTGCTTTTTGGAACTAAGAGCCATGACTTCACTTCGAACCTTTTTTTTTCACAACAAAGATTTCTGTGACTATAGAATCTTCTGAATAAAACAAAATTTTTTACATAAAACTCAATTTACAATTTTTATAAACAAGTAATAAACTGATTCGCGCTGTATACAAAAAATAAATCACTGGACATATAGGTATCAATTACACTGGATTGCTGTTATAGATGCGTTTCATGAGTATCGCATTGGAATGTGATATGCAATGTATCATCGTTTAAGCAAACGTCATGATCTGATATGTTCTTCCTGAAATTGACCTCGAAATATTGGAGATGAATTTATGAATATTTACAAAGTTTTTTCTTTAAAAAAAAAATAAACAACACTGACGTTTTAAAGAACTTCATAACATCTTAGAAGCATCTACTAACCTATAGCATTGTTTTTTTTTTTTTTTTTTTTTTTTTTTTTTATCTATTTAATTCACTTGCAATTGAACTTTTTAATCAAAATAAAATATTTGCATTATTTTTCAGTTCAACAAAACTTCCAGCTGTCAGATAAATTTATGAACAGTTAAAGGGCAACATTTTAATTAATGTAACAAGAACGATTTGAGAAAAAAAAGTTACTTAATTTGGTTTGAATCATCATCAGAATGCATTCGCCTGACCAAAATATTATTCAAGATCAAAATACATTCTTCCAAACAGCATATATCCGACAATGTCATGAATTGTTCCTGATAACGGTGCACACGAAATACACCTTCTTCAGCGTTTCTTACATCTTCAGATTCAAAAATAACATCAAAACCAGTTAAATAATAAGAAACGACGCGAATTTCAATTAACCAAAGAAAGATAAGATGGAGTGAGAACTCAACATATTACAAATATCTTTAAGAAATCAATAATTCAGAGTAGCCGGGGAAAATTTTGCTCACAAGTAGAAATAAAGATGCTTCCCCTTATTTCCTCATTAAAAAATTTACTAACAATCAAGAAATCTCCATTCGCTATTCGATTCCAAATTCAAATTTGAGCAAACAGTAATAAGTTTTTCGATCTTTTGTCGTACAACATCCAATTCAGCTTCTGCTTCTACATTAATTTTACCGATCTCTACAGCTGAAAAGTTTTTACTTGTAAAACTAATGAAATTTTTCAGAAATTTTAGCCTTCTTATAAGTTCAATTTAGACTCGCTAAAATACAATTTTTGAGGGAATAGCTTCTGATACTGCTGTATCGTCTGTGATTGATATACGTCCTGTCAAAAAGCTACGAACTATTCTTAAATTAATAAAGGAGGTTATAAATTTTATTAAATAACCTGCATGAGTCATTCAAAGTATGTCCAATTATGAGAATTATACAACCGATATCTGAGCTTATAAATCTCTTCGAAAAACTCAAAAATTTGCTTTTTTATCATCACAGAAATCAAATATAAAGTCTCATCTTAAAAGAGTATGGGCATTTTCAGAAACATATTACCAGCTACTCTGAGGCGTTCCAGATTATCCCGATTAGCATTATATTCGATGGAATTGGTCAGTAGTACTGGCAGTAAATAGCCTATTGGAGTTGATGGCGCTTGGCTACTGCTATTACTCCGCTGCTGTTTGGATATTTTCCGTTGTTTCTTAAGATTCCCTGGCATATAATTTGATTTCTTCTCACGTCGCAACATGGGAACCTATAATACTTACTTAAAGCAACTGCGAGAGGAAAACATTTTCAAATTAAAACAGGTCAAAAAAAAACATCCTGATGAGAGAAAAAGTTGAAATATAATGGAATGCTAAACAAAACAATATGGTAATAAGAACAAGAAAAAAAAAAAAAGAAAGATGAATCAGTGCTTTATTAAAGTTGAATCAACCTGGCTATGAAAAGTAATTTCGATGGTACTCGGTGCTAGAAGACATGGTTCACCATCTACTTGCATTGGTATTGCTTTGCTTGTTGTAATACGAGCATGAGAGCACTGTGCTATTCGTTCTCCTTTGCCACCCATTTGCAAAGTAGCCTGAGATAAAAATGGCTTAGAGGCAAATGAAATGAATAGATGAAGTTTGCGATTGCTAACGATTAAATGCTAATAATTTTCAAACCTAATACTTAAGGAACCTATACGGTTTCCTGTAACCTATTCCTTACATAAAATTTCCTTTAAATTTGAAATCCCAAAAATATACCAATGTGGCAGTTGTGAAACCAAGAACTTCTAATTTGCCGTCACAACTGGAAGGTCGGCGTCTTTCCTCATCATCACTGCTCCATGGAACTGTTCCTCCAGCATAATATGTTATATTAAGGAATAGTATACAGTGGAATTTGAATTCCCTAATTTTTGAAGTTAAATCAATTCCATCGCACTGAAATTCATATAAAAGGACATAAATTTATTAAACATTAAAAAGTATGGAAGGAAGAGGATAAATTACGCAATTTTACTTCACATAGATATTGACTTTGGAAGGGTAAAATCTGTTATGTTTATTACCTCAAGAGTGATGTATTCATGGAGAAGTTTCCAGGTCCGCTTAAACAAATCGATGGTACCCAGTCCACCGTATGCTATTCGATTTTTCAGCCTACTGTTTAACATTTGTGGATTTGCACCTAGAACCATGCAAGCTTTTATAAACTGAACTGATTACCGATTACCAACATAAGTCAATATTAGCATAATAGTATCACTGAAGAGCTGCCGCAATTAAAAAAATAAACAAGGTTTACCGCAATCCAAATTCAAACTAACTTCTGGAATGATGAAATTGTAAGGCCACATGAGCATCAGCTCCAATGCTGTAATAATTGTTCATTACCGTTAATGTCAGCACATTTTGAGCAGCTTTGTCGATTTCATCCGCTTGTCGCAGATTTGACAACAGCAGATTAGCTTCGACATTTATATTCCACCTAAATTTCTCTCTATATTTATGTGAATGAGAGAATTCTAATAAGACCTATAAATGCTAAAACAAATTTGATAAATCCTTTTCAGTACATGTGAAAAGCAGTTTTAAGCTTTATTTTAATCTTATATCCCTGGTCAGATCGTCAATGACCTACTACATTCAAAATTACCTAGTTTTGATTTCTGGAGTGAAATAACAAAAAAAGCAGACTAACCTATCGAGATATGTGATAGATGTTTCATGAATAACAGCATTTAGAAGTTCTGCCAAAGGTTCATCACTGAACGAACCACCCCAACCAAGACATCTGGAAAAATATGGGTTTAATTAATTAAAAAGATAATGCTTCAAAGAATTAAACTAAGCGAGAAAATCTAAACAATCACAAGAATGAACAGTAAAAATATATGGTTCAATCATACAACCTAACTACTAACAGAACCATAATAAAATAATTGCCTGGCCAAATCATTGCCTGTGCCCAGCGGAACAATACCGATTGGAGGATACTTCGTCCAATTCATCTAAAATTAATATTCAGTGGAAAGAGGACACTGTTTTACTTATAAATCAAATAGAACTTAAAATATAGAATAGATAAAATAAAAAAAAATAAAATAAAAGGACCTTGCTTAATGATGGATCCATCATAACTATTACTCCGTTACATGCATTTTATTAGTAACTGTTTAAAAAAGTTTATGTCATTTCTAGCTCATAAAAAATTTGAAAAAAATGTAAAGCAAACTCTGTCCAGAGTACTTAAAATCCATCCAACAGTGCCATCGCCACCGCATACGAGTAAACGCAAACTGGATGCCACTTTCTTGAACATACTAAGTCTGAAGCATATTGTCAAAAATTAATTTCCAGTAATAATATCTGAAAGTTTCAAACTGGTGATAAGTTGATTTCTTAATATTGTGTTAAGGTATTACTTTACGAACCATTATGATAGGTTTTTTATTGTATAGATAAACCACGTATAGGAAAAACTTGATAAACACTTACCCAAATTCAGGTCCTTTCATTGCAGTAATGTCGAATACTTGACGTGGATTCAAAAGCCAGCAAAATGTGTGTAACAATTTGGAACCCTTATTACCACCTGATTTCGGATTTACAAATACAAGTAATGGTTGACTTGGAAGCCATGTGCCATCATTCAAAGGCACTGGTCGTATTCTAAACAACCTGCGCTGAAATAATGAAACTTTAAACAACACAATTTGTCGTTCGTAACCAACATAATAGATGAAATGGCATCTTGGATTATGTGGAAGATATCAAAAAATAATTTTGTTTAAGTTTGTTATCAAAACATATAAAACTATAATCAGAGTGAGCCATACTTTCTTTCTCTTTGCAACTTTTTTTCTCTTCCTTGTTTGGGTTTGATTTGAGCATTGAATCCATGTCGGTGGCACGATT